GGAGATGAGAGTCCAATCGGAGCTTCGTTTTTTCAAGTGGATTCTGGATCCACCTCAGGGCAGGGCATCATGAGCACAGAGCCGCGGTTCCCTGCAGTGAGCGCTCCTGTTTTCACAGGCACCAGCCCTTCGGTTACCTAACCACTGAACGGAAGCTGCGCCACACACGAGTTAAATATAGGCTGGGTTATCTGCATTTTACAAGCTCCAAGTGAGCTAGCTGAAGACGCTGTCACTTTTAATGATGGCACAAACTTCCAATTACCAACTGGGTAACCCACTAGGGAGCAGGTAGTTTTGGAAGAACAGCTCACTGTTATTAAAAGTTTACACAATCACTTTTGAATTGACTATAAATATTTCACACGAGGCAGGTGGAATTAGGTTCTTTGGGTAGTTTACTTGAGGTAGTTTTCTCGAGACTCAGACACTGTGAGAGGTATCGACAGCTGAGTAGTAGGGGTTTCAAGGTGACAGCTCTCAAGAGGCTGGCAATTCCAAAAGGCTATGAAATGGCCGAGTGGTTGGATGATTCCCAGTCTCAAACATACTTCCAAAGTCAGTCCCATGACACAGCTCAAATGACAAGTCATCAGGGGCCTAGAGACAGTTAGGCCACCCTTGGGCAAGCACTGCTCACGCAGGGACCATATACCCAACATGGCATCTGCGTAGCTTCCTCTCAGTAACCAGTGCAGAGTTAATCAGGTGTGGCCTATGTTCTCAGCTTTGTGTTACCCTCCCTGAAGTCCCTGTGGATGAGCCCAGTCTCCAGTGACCAGGACATCTACTGAATTTGAACTTTACTGTGATAACCACTGAGTCCTGCTCCTAACTGACCAGAGTCCTTGGGAACCAGGGATCTTGGTTTGGGTGGGTGTGGGGTGGCACGCCTGTAATCTCCACACTGAGGAGGCAAGGCAGGAAGCCCCTTGCAAGTTTGAAGCCAGGCAAAACTACATAGCAAGAAGCGGCCTCAAAATCAAAAACAGGCATCTTGTTCTAAATCTTCTTGGAGGATGTGTGGCAGACGTGAGGTCTGGGGGTGGATCCCCAGTTTCCACAGAACAACTGACAGGGCACTAAAGGTGGTAAAGGAAGACCCCATGACCCTATCCTTCGCACCACCATCACAAATACAATTTGGAGATTTAATCACTAATAGCTTTAGAAAAAAGAATGAGGCTGACTTACAAAGCTAGTCAAATGTGTTCTTGGAAGGCCAGTTCTCCCATGAAGTCAGAAAATCCAGGTTAAGGCTTCTGTGGCTGTAACCTATGTCTGAGCTAAGCAGGATGAAATCACGGAGGGTTCCAATGTCTCTTTCCACATCCTCCCTGCATCCAAGGGTCTGCTCAAATTGCCCGCCAGCCTGTGACTGCCTGGGCACAGGCGTAGACAGACTCACTGCTGGACCAGGGCAACAGAGAACCTCACGGGCCAGAAGCACCTGGATGTACTTGCAGAGCTGCAAAGCACTGCCCAGGCCCACCAGAACCCAGGCTTATGCTAACAAGCCAGAAAGTAGGAGCAGCTGGCAAGAGTGATTCAGCCCCATAAATTTTCACATCCATCCAGCCAAACCCACTTGAAGCAATGCAGATCCACTTTTATTGAAATAGAAAAAAGTGCCTATTCTGGAGTGCTGAGAGTTACAGAAGGATATGAGATAATCCCATGTTGTCTTCAGCGCGGTGTCGGGGAGAGAACCCAGGGCCTTATGCTCGCCTGCACGGCTCCACCACCACACCACATTTGCAACCCCTATTTATACACACGTATGTGTGGTGGTATGAATAAGGAATGTCCCGTAAAGCCTCATGTATCTGCACATTTGGTGTCTGGGGAGGCTGTGGAACCTTTATGGGGTGGAGCCTTGCAGGAGGAAGTATGTCACTGGGTGTGGGCTTTGGGTCTGCAGCTGAGATGTAATCTCTGAGCTTGCTCAGTGCTGATGGACATCTCATCCTCTAGAACTATAAACTAAGACAAACTTGCACTAAGTTGCCTTTGGTCACGATGCTTTATCACAGCAATAGAAAAAGTGCCATAAACAGAAAGTGATGGCCAGATAAACAAGCCGTTATTGCTGGTTGTTGGAATTACGAGTGACTTTGGTCATTTTCTTTCCTTCTCTCTTAGAGGAAACAATTATTTCCAGTTATGCTTTATAAAGTCAGTAGCTTGTAAAGGCTGCTACCTACAGAGTGGATTAAGACTAAGATTACCTACCAGCCGGGCAGGTGGTGGGAGCTCGCCTTTAATCCCAGCACTCGGGAGGCAGAGGCAGGCGGATCTCTGGGAGTTCAAGGCCAGCCTGGTCTACAAGAGCTAGTTCCAGGACAGGCTCCAAAGCTCTGCAGGAAAAAAAAAAAAAACCAAACCAAACAAACAAAAAAGACTAAGGTTACCAAACCGTGTAAGGTAGGAAGAAAGGAAAAAAAAAAAAAAGGGAAAGGAAGGAGACACACATGCAAACCCGTCTTTGAGACGAGGAGCCGATCCATCCAGTAGGGAAACAAGTGCAGAGGAGAGAGGGACCAAGCAGTTTCGTTTTCTATAAATAAATCATTGGCAGGCAGATGGCTACAGAAACACAAGTCAATATAAACCTTTCGACACGGGGCTGCCAAACTTCACTTTTCGACAGTATATTAATTATGTAGTCGATGGCCATGGGTTTCATTAGTGTATTAAATACCACGATCAATATTATTTATACTTTTCGAAGACAGGCCACTCAAGAAAAAAAATTGGTGGGGGAAGGAGGGGGGAACACTTTGACCCTGCAGTTCAAAAAAAGTCAGAATAGTACACTAGAGATTAGCAAGGCTTTAATGGAAGGCATAAAACACTGGAATTATGGACAGAAATCAGATCAGTACCTTCCTTTTTCTGCCTCTATCACAATGAGACTGGAGGGAATTCAGGAACCATTTAAAATAAAGGCAAAGTGATTAGATACCCTGCCCCCACCCCCAACTGCTTAACGCTGGTGTCATGGTAGGGGCAAAATAAGCATTGATCTCTAACTGATAGATGAAAATCAGGACATGAGCAGTCTTTCCAGATAAACTGTGTCCAAGAGAATTCCAAGAACTGTGGGCCAGAATCTAGTTGGAAGTCCTTTGGGACATGGATTCCTTACAAACATTAACAGTGGAACCAATTTCTGAGGCCGTTCAACAGGTGATCTGATTTTTTAGTAAGGGACCCTGTTAAAACATCAATCCCCACTCCCCGTGGAGTTCTGTTCTCCTGTTAGCTGCGCTAGATTTGTTGAGGTGGCCATGAGGAAGTGCAGGGACTGGTTCACTGGCCTCAGGCGCATTGCTGCTGACCAGCCCTCCTGCGCTGGGGAGAGAAGGGAGGGCCGTGAGTAGAGATCTAAAAGACTGGTTACTGGACTGAAAGCTAGATCACCATCTCCAACCCGCAATTTGTCAATCTCCAATAGCGCTGAAGACTGTGATTTTCTAGTCAGAGCTTTATAAACAAGGTCAGAAAGAAAGAGCCTCCATAGAAATTGTCAGGGCTTCAGCCAGATAATCAAGTACAACTCAATTCCTGTCTCCTGAGGGTAGGGAAGGGTAAGAAAAGCTGTGTCTCTGCAATCAAAGTCTGCCTGTCTGTTCTCAGCAAGGCCGGCCATTTGCCTAGGGCTGCTAGTCTCTTCCAAAAGAAGAGCCAGGAATGTGGTGCAGGGCTGGGACACAGAAGCAGGAGAATCATGTCAAGGTCAGCCTGGGCTAACCAATGAACTAGAAGCTACCCACTTTAAAAAGACTGCCCCAACAAAACAAGACAAGCCAGGGATGGTGTCAGAAGCCTGTATTTCTTGTGTAGGAGAGGCCAAAGAAGGCGGTTCAAGCCTGAGACCTGCTTGGGAAGATCGTATCTCAAAAACAGGCCAGCTCACGAGAAAACAGACAGGGTGTGGTGGCCAATGTCATCGGTCCTGGTCCGTGAGGGCTCGTCCAGAGCAATTCAACTGAGGAAAGACCTACCCTCAATGGGGATGGCACTCATGGCCCAGGGGTCCACACTAAATAAAAGAGGAAGGAGAAGAAAGCTCAGCTGGATCCCCATGACCCACATTAAAAAGCACTGGGATTTAGAAATGGGAGGATCCCTGGCCTGTGCTGGCCAGTTAGCCTAGCTTCAACAGGAGCTCCAGGCCAGTGTGAGAATCAGTCCCCCCTTCTCTCTCTCTCTCTCTCTCTCTCTCTCTCTCTCTCTCTCTCTCTCTCTCTCTCTCACACACACACACACACACACACACACGTTGAAAGTGAGTCCTAGCATTTGAGTCTCATTGCTTCCTGACAACAGATGTCATGTGACCAGCTCTCCACCAGGAAAGATGGTAGCCTTTAACTGTGGCCAGAAGAAGCCAGTCCTCCCAGAAGTCACTTCTGACTGCTATTTTGTCATAGCAACAAAAAAGCCACTAAAAGACAGGGTGCCGTGACACCCCGGCTCCACAGAGCCACCACATGCTTAAGTGTACACATTAAAAGCCAGGCCCGCAGCTGCAGGGGGATTGCACTGCTGCCTGGATACTGATGTGCAGCAAATGCCAAGAGGTGGGCTGCAGCAACCAGATAGATAATTAATATGATTAGGAACACACAGAGCAAGCATGCTCTTGCCGAATGAAAAGCCTAGTAGCATAATTACTGTTTTCTTCCTCGCTCACTGTCTACACATTTCAAAGCCTGGTTGGTGTTAGGCTGCTGTGTAAACATCAATAAAATCCCAAAGTGCCAGATCATCAGCTTTCTTGGGCACAATGGCTTTTCCTTTGTGGTGTTTTCATTCTGTTAAAGATGCATTTCAGAGTTGCACACATTTGTAAGAATGATCTCCAGGCCTCATCCTAATCTCTTAAGATAGTAATGAGTTAACATCTTTCCCTAGTGATTATTTATTACGAAGGCTAATTAATTGCTTTCCAGTTACAAGAACCCTTCACAGTCAAAGAAAGTAGGATCCACAAACAAAGATATACTGTTTATTCAAACAAAGCAAGGGAAACAAAGGGCTTCTTTCGAAAATTCTCTCTATTTAACACACCTTTAATCAAAAATAAAATATAGGAATGCAAGAAAAAAATGTGCAGGTAAAGTTGGTGCATCTGGCAACCAAATGCAACATTAATTGAAGTGAAAACTCAAGCAATGCTTTGTAGTTGCCTGGATGTCCCTGGGGGACGGCAAGTCAATGCTTATCAGCCATCCTCAGAAGAGACAATTTTGATTAATATCAGACCCATCTGACTCAGTCTATTAAATCTATTAAACCCTGAAGGAAGGACAGTCTTCAGATATTAACGATAGGCTTTTGATTAATAATTCTACCCTTTTGCCATTCCAAGCATTAATAACCATGTGGTACCTTGGAAAGAGTGAGCCTTTGATTCCAGAAGACACAGCCCCTAAACACCTGGGCTCTCCCCCATCCTCACTCCCCCAGGCAGAACCAAGACATAAAGGTGCCACCATAGGAAAAGCAAACCCAAGTAACATAATTTACCTCACTATCCACAAAGTAGGGTCAATTACTTATGACATAATTCCTGTTTGACGATAACAAAATCTTAGTAAATAAAGGCGACAAAAGCCTGAAGAAGGGAGGGTCTGGTGCTAAGTATGCTGCCTGCGCTGAGCGGCTCTGCACTGTGAGGCTGTCACTCGGGTGGGAAGAAAGCCGTTCTATTTCCGTTCTTTACTTTCCAACTCTGGCCATCAGTACCACTTGCTCACATCATATGTTCCTCTTGATGTTCATGATCAGCCTCTTGGCATAGTCTCTGTAGTCCACAGGCTTCACGTCCATCACAGTGGCCTTAATTCGAGATTCGTCCTTTGAAAAGAGAAAAGCCTTTTGTGAGTGGGACAGCCAGGCATGGAGCAGTGAAGATACCATTCTCTGCTTCATTGCTTTCAATGAGTCCAGCAGGAAAAGGGAAGTTTAGTCATTCCTAGAGGAAGTGCTGTGAATTCCTGGCAATGGGTCAGTGTTCAGATCCCTTCTACAGACCCCCTGCCCATCCTCGGCATTTTGTGCTCAGACCCAGTATCCTACTGAAGTGGAGGGGTCTCTAGTCTCTATTGTCTTTATATGGGTGCAGCGGGAGCCTAGAGCAGATAGCTAACTTGCCCTAAAAGCTCACTTTTATGTAGAAAAAGTACCCGCAGCAGCAGGAATCTGGCTTCTGCTCCAGCTCTGGGCAAGCTTATCTGTCTGTCCTTCACCATCCCTGTCCACACCAGGAAGAGAGTAACCCTACGATCTCCCTTAATGACTGTATCCCACCAACAATCAACACAACCACCAAGCTGATGGTAATTCAGAATGTGTAAACTTGGTGGCTGCAAGGGAGTTGACAGAATCTCATTCAGCTTGTCTCCAGGAACTAAACCGCACCTCTGAGTAGAACATGGTGACAGCCAGCAGCACACAAGTCTAGCTAGAGGCCTTCATGTGTACACATGCTTATTAACTACAAAATGTCCTGAGATTTCCAATGGCTCTGCTACTCCATGACTGTAGGGTCAGAAGCCCATTCTCTGTATGCCTACATCTTTCCATCGTCAAAAATGGGCAAGAAGAGCTCGAACAACAGAAGGTGCTGTGAGGATCAGCAGATAAGAGATGGCCAGCGGTCAGGACAGTGACTGCCTAGTAAATGCTATTTATTACAACTATGCAACTCTATAACATTGGGGCTAATTTAAAGGCTCGTCAAGATACTTTTATCTGCACATAGTATTTGTTTAATACATTTTTGGAATGTAAATTGTGAAAAACAAGAGTCCACATACATTTTCTAGAAGTACAGAGACAACAAAAATTTCATAAGCCTGTAATAGAAAAGGCCATACTATCTTCTTCCCAGAGTGTTCAGACAAGACAGCAAACCCGAGTTTGGCTTCCAAATCTACACCGTTAGTAACAGCACCCAAGTGCAGGCAGATTCCATGAGCACGCATGTACGGGCCTCACACCTGTGGGTAGTTCCCTGACACTAACACTCAGTGCTGCTGTGGTCAACAAAAGCAATTTCCCGACACAGCCTTCTGCCCCCGGGACCTTACTTACATTGTAGGTCTCCAGCTTGACCCTGATTCTGAATGTAAATGATCGGAAGTTGGCATTCTGAAAAACCTCTTCAAACGCCTGCTCGTTCTGTAAAAACAACACATGGAAACTACTGGAAAATACCTATTAAACTGTTGAAAAGGCTGAGAAATTATCACCCTAGTGGGCTGAAATTTCTCAGGAAAGAATAATTTGTAGGTGTTTTATCACATAAAACTGTTTAAGTAGAACTTTATCAAAAATCAAAACACTTTACTTAGAAGTACTGTTTTCCCTTCAGTATTTAAACGCCTGGACCTGGGAGCCCTACCTCCAGTGGACACTGAATTCCAAGGATACTCAAGTTCCTTATGTAAAATGGTTTACACAGAACCCACGCACATTCGCCCGCCCGTATGCTGGGAATCATCTGTAGATTATTTGTAATACCAAATGTAAATATCATGTGAGCATTACATGGATTGGCCGGTGAACAGTGATAAGGAAACATAATTTGCACACGGTCAATAAATGTGCAACTTATCCCCCAAATATTTTTGATCCCTAGCTGGCTCAATGTGTGGAATTGAGAGCAGACTTTAATAGGCCCACAGAAGCAGAACCCCGGCTGCCAGTGCTGGGGAAGGAAGTTGGGGAGCTGCTGCTCAAGGGTGCAGCCCTTCAGGATGGATAAATGGCAATGTGGGAAGACGGGGTGGAGCCAGGGGCCTGAGAGGGGACTAATGCCACTATGTATCTCAAAGTAGTAACAACAGAAAAAGAAAACAACATATTATGGTATTATACGTTAATTTTACCATAATTAATTTTTAAAAAATACTCTTAGGATACACAATTAAGATTTGGAATACTTGTGGGGGAAGAAACCTGAACCCCAGCACCTCATTGTGAATTAAAAAGTGGGTAGGAGGGGCTGGAGAGATGGCTCAGAGGTTAAGAGCACTGGCTGCTCTTCCAGAGGTCCTGAGTTCAATTCCCAGCAACCACATGGTGGCTCATAACCATCTGTACTGAGATCTGGCGCCCTCCTCAGGTGTGCGGGTATACATGGAGGCAGAATGTTGTATACATAATAAATAAATCTTTAAAAAAAAAAAGTGGGTAGGAGGGTCCAGTGGTTAAATCACACATTGCTCTTGAGAAGGACCAGAGTCCCCTTCCTGGAGCCCTCATGGTGGCTCATAGCTACCTGTAACTCCAGTTCCAGGGGACCTGATGCCCTCTCCTGTCTCAGGTGCCAGGCAGGAAAGTGGTGCACATACATACAAGCAGGTACAACACATAGAAATCAAATAAAAACACTGAGTGCACGGCAGTGTCTCACACCTTTAATCTCAACACTTGGGAGGCAGGTGCAGATGGATCTCTATGAGTTCAAGGCCAGCCTGGTCCACAAAGAAAATTCCATGACAGTCAGGGCCATTACAGAGAAACCCTGCCTTGAAAACCAAAATAAATAAACAAAATAAAATAAAATTGAGTAGGAGCTGGGTCTGGTAGCACAAGCCTTCAACTCCAGCACCGGAGAGGCAAAGGTTTTTGAGTTCCAGGGTTACATAGTGAGAACTTAGCGCCAATTTAAAAAATAATAATCAGGCATGGCCCATGCCTGTAATCACAGTATTCTGGAGGCTAAGGCAAGAGGATTACAGTGAGCATGAAGCCAGCATCAGCTACATAGCTGGCTGGGGTTACAGTGTGAGGCTGTCTCAAACAAAACAAAAGAACTGGATGGGCAAAAGCATCACAAAGAAAAACGTTCAGGTCACCACAGATCTACTCATTTTAGCCTCTGTATGCACAGCTGTGGAGGAGATGGGTGGAGCGGGCAACACCAGGAAAAGGCTGGAAGATGCCTTCCTCCTCTGACACCCCTTAAATGCCATCTGATTTGGTTACTTTGTTGTGATTCTTTAAGAAGCTGGCTTTTAGACTGGGGGTGTGGTGGGATGATACAACTGGGATACTCAGCACCCCCGCCCCCCGTTTTTAACTTCTGAGACCATGTTTACTAAGTTGCCCAGTTGGCATTCTCCTGCCTCAGACTGCTTAGGCATAAAACACATGAACTTAAAACTTTACATAAAACTAACATTTCATATAAGCTAAGTATCCCTGTAGGTCACACGGGTATGAAAATAGTTTTATCACACATACTTCTTTTTGTAGGTGATATTTGAGGAAAAAAGTCATTCCTTGGACTTTCAACATATAAACAAAATAATGTGTTAAATCTTCAAAAACTTAAACCGGACGCCATTACTCTTTAGGGCCAAGGGAAGCACAGACACATATTCCCAGAACATCATGGTTCCTGAGGTTCCTGTATGTCCTTATTCACCAGGGAAGAACAGTCAACTATAATAAGCTCATAAAAATCCTGAAAGGCTGCCTGGAGCCTGAAAATCTGATATGAAAATAGAGAACTGGGCAAAACAGATAAAAGACTATTGCACTTTAAAAGTCAATCCCAGTTATTTCTGCGAAAAGCCTATTTTCAGAGCCCTCACAGAGAATTTAGGAAGGAGGCAAGGGCAGGAGCAGAGAGAGTAAGAGCAGCATGTCAAAACAAGCAGCAACTCCTTTTCTTTGTGGTCTTTACATGTGTCCCATCAACATGGAGGAAATGGAGGGGAAAAAGACACAGGATGTAGATAGGTGCCAATTTCCACGGCCTAGTCTTTGTTTTAACTCAGCAAGTATCTTTCTTATGTCTGGTATAATCAGTAACCCATTATCTGCATTAAGTAAATCTAATGTATAAAAAGGCAAACTAGTAAAGGTGAAATAAGTAATTTAAAAAAAGGATTTATTTGTTTTTACTGTGTGCATGTGCATGCCACAGGTCCACACGTGGAGGTTGGACAACTTCATGGAGCTGGTTCTCTCCCTCTACTGTCACATGGGTTCCAGTCATGGAACTTGGGTCATCAGGCTTGCATGGCATTGCAAATACTTTACTCACCGAGCAATCAAGTGTCCCAACACACGCACGCACAGAGATATAAAGATACAGATATCTATACTTAAGACAGGGTTTTGCTATGCAGTCCAGGCTAGCCTTGAACTCACTATGCAAACTATCTTGGCCCAAAACAAGTGCTGAGACAAGTGGCAGGAATCATCACCACAGCATGTAAATTGATCTTTAAAACAAAGTCAGATTGTGAGAACTCCATCTGACAACCTGAAATAGCAAGGACCCCAGATGTGCACTTATTCCAAGAGCTGAAAAAGTTATCTATCTAGAAGATATTTACTAGGTTAAAAGAGCATGCCTGAACTTTGAGTTATTCAGAAGACACCTATGGCTCTAGACTGCAGGCACACCAGCTCTGATGTGTAAAAAACAAAACAAAACAGTAACTAGTACACAGGTGGTTTGTGCCTCTGTGTAAAGTTCCTTTATGTTCCCCGATTCATTATCCCTTGTTAGATGAGCTATACAATGAGAGCTCATACAACCCTCAAAGAAGCAAGCAGTAAACAGTTCAGCAGCACAACAAGCGCTATCACAGAGCTAATAACCAGGTGCCAACCTTTTCTTTCAGCTCCCCAAGGTACGCAGTATTCTGTCCAAGGATAGCCTCCGCAGACTCCTGGAAACACGTCACCCACTGGTTCTCTTGAAAATCCGCAACATTTGCCTAAAAAACACAACTCTATGATTTCAGCAAATAAATAAAAAAGGAAGACACCCAAGGAGAGGAAGATTACCTTTTCCTACCTAAAGTAACCTCCAAGGGAAGATTACCTTTTCCTACCTAAAGTAACTTCCAAGGGCCATCACACACACAGCCCTTGACTTTCAGCGCTTTGAATGGTTCCCCCTTATATGAAGAAGTGTCCTGTTTCTGTTGTTCCTTTTTTAGTAATTTAGTACTAAAAATTCACTCATTTTTAGTATAGTATCCAATAAATCATACGAGCTGCTCCATCCTTTTATCATAAAGCAGGTTAGGCTGTACAGATAGATGCTCTGAGCACTCTGAAGGGAGGCAGGGTTAAGCTAGGCTTCACTGTTAAGTGCAGGCGATGCTATGCCAGTCTTTTAAAAGCTGTGACAGACGCCATGGGAAGAAGTTTAAAATGTGCTTTAGCTCAGTCTTCCAGAGATGTGATTTAACTAAACCCCCACAGATGCGGAAGCATGCATGAGACTGTGCTCCTCCTCGAGATGCAAAGGCTTTGCACTGGAAGTTTCAAATGCGCTTCCAATGGCAAGAGTGGAATCTCTTTATTTTATTTTACTTATTTATCCTTTCTCTCTATCTCCACATCTCGCATCTTTCAGTTTTTAGAGATAGCATATAATGCAACCCAATCTACCCTCAAACTTGCTGTGTAGTCAAAGCTGGCGTTGGACTCCTCTTGCCCCCCACCACAGATGCCAAGAATACAGAAATATGCTGCCATGCTCAGTTGTTTTATTTTTAAAAAACAAAGTCTTATTGGGTGGTCTAAGCAGGCCCACCTTACAGGCCGAGTTCACATTGACACATCTTTTCTTATGGTGTGTGTTGTATTATGTGCTTCAGGTGGAGGCCAGAGACTGACACTGAGTGTCTTCTACTGTTACTGTCCTCTCACCTTCTGAGACAGGGGCTCTGAGTGAACAGAGAGCTCAGCAACTGGCGAGGCCGATGCCCAGTGAGCTGCAGGCCTAAGCCCGAGTCACCTCACTCACTCGATGCTGGTCCTCACGCTTGGGAGGTAGGTGCTTTGCCCACTGAGCATCTCTTAAGACCCACTGCAGGCATTAAAAAAAAATTTGTGTGTGTGTGTGTATACGCCGGGGTTTTGCCTGATGTATGTCTGTGTAAGGATACCAGATCCCCTGGAGCTGGAGTCACAGACAGTTGTGACTGTTACATGGGTGCTGGGAATTGAACCCAGGTCCTTTGGAGGAGCAGCCAGTGATCTTAACTGCTGAGCCATCTCCCCGGCCCCACATTTTTAATTTAAAGAGCTGCACGAGATGGTTCTAAGTCACTACTGAGCAACACAGTTAACTTCAGAGCCTGTATTAAAGACCTTCAAACCTGTCACCAGATCTACCAAGTGACAGAAACAATGACATGTCTGCCAGTAGATGTAAGGTCTAAATTAAATTGCTGAAGGCCAAGAAAGCTTGCTGAGTTGGCCTGGCCAGGACTCACCTTTCTCACCTCCCCCTGGCACTGTAACTACTTCAATGACAGCTATATTCAATTCCAAATTCTTTTTGTTTTACTTGTTGAGACAGGCCTTCTCTGTGTAGCCCTGGTTGTCCTGGACCCACTCAGTAGGCAGGCTGGCCTCAAACTCACAGATCCGTCTGTGTCAGCCTCCCGATTGCTGGGATTAAAGATATGAGCTATCACTGCCTAACTGGTTATTTTTTATTTTTGAGACCAGGTCTCATGTAGCCCAAGCTAGCCAGCTGGCTTTGAACTTGCCATGTAGCTGAGGATGACTTTGAATGTCTAATCCTCCTGCACCCACCTACAAGTATGAGAATTCCATACTTGTAATGCGTCATACATTGAGGTACAACCCAGCCTAAAAGAGATAAATTCGAAGGCCTTCATAGTCTTTTATTCACTAGAGTGGCTTCCTTTAGTGATCACTAAAGGAAGTAACAACAGGACAGAAGGGCATTAGAGCCAAATCCAACTTTTCAAAGTAAACAACTTCACACAGCTCTAATACTGCTGAGTATTTCTTCAGGATAAATTCCCTGTAGGTGGCTTCTGTTTCAGGAAACAGGAACATTTTTAAGGTTTGGACACATTACTTACCGTCAAATCAAAGTAAACCAAAGCAGAGTAAAGGAGCAACAACCGTGCTCTGGCACACTCCTCTAAAGTCAGTTCCACTAAGGTTGAAACAAACAAGAGTATCCACGAGAAAAATAGGTACAATTACTGCTCTCCGGAAATGCAATTTCAAATTAACTTATCTTCACAACAAGAGGCAAGCACCACCACACTGTGATCACTGAGGGCCGCACTGGCTAGGGCAGCTCAATGCAACTTTTGGGCATAAAACGCAGCATGGATGCTGCTGTTGAGCCAGGGCAAAGCCCTTACTCCTCAACACGAACTCGTCTGTGAGTCCCTTACCAATGACAGTCAGTGAACACCGTAAGGCTTCTCACTAACCATTCCACTTACCGATAAGATCATGCGGTATTTGAAGTTGGGAAATTCCCGGTCACACTTCTCACAGCGGTACAACCCATTCTGCTGGTCAATCACTTTCTTATTGCAGTCCTGGGTTGGGCAGGCCTGGTACATACAGTTCTCTTTGCGAAGAAACATCACCGTAGCTACGGTGCTGAAATAGTCAGCCTGGGGGGGGGGGGAGGATCACAGACCCAATCAGCAAGCTACACTTGGGTCTGCAACAGGCCACTCGAAGCTGCCCTTACTTGCAAATGTTAAGTGCGTATGTGCTCTAGTTCCCACACTCACTGCCCGATTATGCAGGACTGTTCACTCTGTGTTTGCTCCATGCAAACCCAGAGGCAGTAAACCAGCACTCAGGCAATGTCTCACAAGCTAGCTCTGAACTCAGAGACTTACCTGCCTCTGTCTCTATAGTGCTTAGCCACCACACCTGGCCACACAATCCTTTTAACGTGTTATTTGTTATATATGCGTATCTCCATGTGTATAAAGATCACATGCACACTAACGCAGGTGAACATGTGCCAGTGTTTGTGGAGGCCAGAGCGCAACTTTCAGGAGTTAGGTCTCTCTTTCACTCTGGTGCTAGGGAACTCAAGTTTGAAGATAGCAGAATAAGTGCCTTCAACAGCCAGCACATAATACTTAAAAAAAAAAAAAGCATGTATTTATTATGTGTGTATGTGTTTTTGTACTCGTGCACATATACCACAGGATATGTATGCAGTCCGGAGGACAACTTGTGGGAGCTGGTGATCTTCCTTCGTCACGTGAGCCTGAGGCGGAGTTCAGGCTGTCGGGCTTGGGGTCAGGCATCCTTAGCCACTGAGTCACCTTGCTGACTAAGCACACCATTTTTTTTTTTTTTACAATGACAGTGATTTATACCCTTATGTTTAGCGATCAGTAAGTTTTTCCTGTAACAAGTCAGAGAAAAACTTTAGGATCAACAAGCCATTGAGTCAGTCTCCACTGACACTGTGGGGCAAGACAACCCACAGACAACACGATGAGGATGATTCAATAAAAAAATCTTTTTGAGACAGGGTTTCTCTGTGCAGCCCTGGCTGTCCTGAAACTCACTCTGTAGACCAGGCTGGCCTCATACTTAAGAGATCTGCCTCCTTCTGCCTCCCGAGTGCCGGGATTAAAGTTGTGCACCATCATTGCCCAGTGCCATAAAATTTTATCGGCAACAACAGACAGCGAGTTCACAGCCTTGACTGGCAACTCCTGGACGTAAAAAAGTTCAAGAGAATGTCAAAGTACCCATGACTAAAACCCTGTAAACAGTTAAGTAGCCCAGAAGGACTAAGTCACGCTAAAGGCTCTGGGTGAACACCTGCTTCACCTCTGGACCCCCACAAGTTCTTAAGTCCATGTGAAAGAAACCAGCTTAGCTGCTGTTATGCCATTTTGCAAGGCTTTAAAACAAAGTTCAGGGTAAGGTCAGTACTCCTAGGCTACCAAACAGGATATCTGCGGTCAGATATCTGGCCTAGGAGGGGAACGAAGAGTTCTGGGGAAGACCGCATATGCCCTAGATAGAGCCTAGTCAGCTGTTATCAGACGTTTGTGTCCCCAGCCAAGAGCCAGGGGGTTTGTCCTCAAGTAAACCCCTCGCCGCATTTGAAAGGACCAATGGGATCCCTGTAACCATGCATCTGCTTCTGTTAGCCTGCTTCTGCCAAGTAAAAGACCCCCTGCCTAGCCTGAGGGCGCGAATAGACTCTGCTGCCCTCAGGTACCTGTGTACTCTCAATAAAGAAACCTCTTGCCGTTTGCAGCCAGTGGTCTGTCTCGGACTGTTCCTTGGGTCTAGGGGTCTCCACCTGAGGGAAGGTCCTCCCTGAGGGTCTTTCACATGGGTTCAGTTTTGGTTTGGTAGTGTCAAGTAACTGCAAAATCCAGGTATACCCTGAATTCAGAGCTAAGCTACTAACCACTAGGCCATTTTTATTAGCCCTGGCTATCTTGGAATTCTCTATGAAGACCAGGCTGGCCTCGAACTCACAGATAAACTTGTCTCTGCTGCCCAAGTGTTGGGATTAAAGGCATTTGCCTGGCGCATACTGGATCTACTTGATGTCTCAAACCAGAGGGGCAAAACAATGCTGCCATTTAAAAAGACCACGCTAGCATCCAGTTTAGACAGCTTTAGAGCTGGGGTGTAGCTAGTGGAAGAGCTTGCCTAGCACGCTAAAGGTGAGGGTCTCCACATAATTGAATACATGTGGAGAGATGGATCAACCATTAAGAACACTGGTTGTTTTTACAGAAGACCCAAGTTCAGTTTCCTAGTACCTATATGGTAGCTCACAACTCCAGTTCCAGGGGCTCTGATGACCCTTCAGGCACCAGTCGTTCACATTCAGGAAAAAAATTCATACATGTAAAACTAAAAACATTAAAAAGAAAGAAAATTTAGGCCGATATGCCGGCTCAGGGGTGAAGGCATTTGCTTGTCAAGCTGGATAGCTTGAGTCTGGTCCCTGGGACCCAAAGGGAAGGCTGAGTTTGAATTCCATATACTGCAGTGGAAAATGAACGTCCTATCCACAAATAAAAAATAACTCAAAATGAATGTAAAAAAAATCTGTAGAGAAATAAATCTTAGTTGAATGCTTAAAGTGTTTCTCTGTATTTCCAGGTTAAATTCAGACTCAAAGCCTGATTTTAAAGTCTGAGTGCAGACAAGTGTCCTGTATGCTCAGTTCTGACTGCATACTGTCTATCTTTGGTTTAAGGGAGCAACTGGGTGACAGGAGAAACGGAATCTAGCCAGTGCTTAATTCTCAAGACGTCCCGTAATAGCATTACAAGCTGCTGAGGATGACAGTGATGGATCGTGTGCACAGTGAAGGGAGACTGCAGGAGGAAACCTGTGTCGTACACGACAACAAAAACGGAGCAGCAGCGAGAGAAATAAATGATTCAGAGACCCAATAGAATGCAGGTTAGACCAAGGCAAGAGGATCATGACATAAACACCGAGACAGACGCTGCAACCAAAGTCAAACACCAGAACCAGTCCTATGACTCAGGCTGAAACCTAAGAGGAGCTGCCTGGTGCTCGGCAGCCTGAATCACACTCTGCTCAAAAAACCAACATGGACCTGAGGCCAGTTCACACCACATCGCAGAGCCTCGGTGTCCAGGAACTCTTCACTTTTCTGTCTCACACCAGAGGCCACCACACACAGCCTTTACACCAGTAGGGACTCAGAGCCGCCACCAAGTAGTGATTGGTGCTCTGGGGTCCTGATGAGAACACAGCCCCCAGATTTAAAAACTTAGTCCCCTGTTGCTTTTTGGGCTTCTGTGAGGTACCTTGTCACCCTGGCCCAGGTTCTCAGATTTAGCCTCATACAAAGTTTTCCAGTTTGTGTTGCTCCCTCCAGTGCCTCCGCTCCTGAGGTCAGAGATGGAAACGCCATCTAAGGCTTGTCCTTCGGAGTCAAACCTAAAAAAATAATAAGCAATGGTGACAGAACTTTGCATCCTTTTCAAAAGTGCTGTTTGGATATATTAGCCATGAGCGCTCCTGTCCCCACCAGCTGTCACTAAAGAAATGCAATGGCCTTTCTTTTGCTCTTGTTTGCTTTGATGACCTCCCCCCCCACAATGTCAAAGTACCACAAGACCTTTTCCCCACCTGCATATTAAAAGCTATGAACAAAGTCAGCAACAGAAAGCAAACTGGCATAGCCCCCCGGGCTTTGAAACTTCACCTCAATCACTGAAATGAATCAGATAAAGAGGGATGTTTTTGTTTCACCAGTCATCCAAAAATATTTTCATGGTAGAAAATCTTTTAAGCCTAACCAGTTACAGAACTCAATGTACTTCATCAGAAAGCATTATCTGCCCTGTTAGAGATCTGCTTTCTCAGTGAGAATTTGCTTATGCAAACATCAAGGTTAAATTCATTTATATAAAATTATTACTAAAATTGATTACACCTCTTGACCAACTACTAGCTAATCTGATGGAAAAGAAGCCAGGGAAAAGGTAGCAAGAATATGAAAGTGGCAGAGAGCAGTGGGCCGGAGATTAAAAACATATGAACTGGGTATAGTGGCACATGGCTTTCATTCCAGCACCTGGGATACAGAGGCAGGCAAATCTCTGAGTTCCAGGCCAGTGAGGGCTACACAGAGAAACCCTGTCTTAAACAAATACAAATATACAAACATGCAAGTGGTAGGGAACTGTATGCTAACCACATACAGAACTGACTCCCTGAAAAGAGATCACCCAGAGTGGCTGCTGCCGTAGGCCACAGCTGTCAGACGAGCAGCTACATCTGTCACAGAGGACAGAGTGCAGAATCTATTTCACCACTACTAGCTGCTCAAGTTTAGTTACAGACAGTTGCCACCCAAGACAGTTCATCAGGAGTCAACAGAGGAAGGAGATGGGCAGCCCCCACCCCAAGACATGGTTTCTCTATTTAACAGTCCGGGCTGTCCTGGAACTTGTTTATAGACCACACTGGCTTCGAACTGCCTGCCACTGTGCTGGCATTAAAGGCGTGTGCCACCACGGCCTATCTGGCAGCCTTTAAAAATTCCACTCCATCAGTACCAAGATCTAAATGTGGCTAATTCCTGCCTGGGTGGGGTGCAAGCACTGAACTTCTCACAGATCAATGACAGGATGAACAGAAGTTCAGGGGACAGATCAGTTACTGACAGTGAAACACGAACACCCTTCAAGTGGGCATGCAATTAACCTGGGGTTGGGCTCAGACCCTGGAGCAAAACCAAACCAACGACTCAACTGTTTCTAGTCAGACTATTATGGGATCCTGTCATATAAGGCAGCGCCAGCTATCAGCAGTCAAATAGACGGATGTAGATGAGGATGGCTTAAGCGATAGACACTCCAGGAGATGGTCTATCAAATCATTCAAATATTATTGCTACTGGTATATATCAGACTCAAAACAAAAATGAGGAGGATGAAATATAAACTGTTTCTCGAGCCCCCTAAACTTTAAGCCACAGCTGGAATCCCCCACCAACACTTCCCATAACTACAGCTATACAAATGACTTAAGCTTGGGCTGGGTAAAGTATTTTCTTTGCTTACATCAATTCTTCCACACGACATTCTCAGGATGAAGTGCTCTTCTAAGGCAGAGTTTTAATGCCTTAAAAAGCTAGATATGGTGTGGGGATTTTAACAAGCTCTCCTGTCTTGAGTGCTTTGGGAATAACGTTAGAACGCCAACAAAAAGCCCATTGTTCCCACCGTGCTTTGTCAGAGCCCAGTGAATACACACCAGAAGATGTGACCAGCTCAGAGACTCCAGAGTGAGAGAGCACATTCTACCCCCACATCAGCTGCCCACAGCTCAAGCCTAGGAGCAAAAGATGTTCTCAATACATTCCTTCAGCATGTAGCTGCTAAAGCCTTGTTGTACCCTGCTCAGGGGGGATCAAGGTCAGCATGCAGCACTTACATTCAAATTGCTTTTTCTGACTCTCTAGGTTCATCAGGGGATTATGGGTTTGTCAATTGAAGGGCTTTCAGGCTACCACCTCAGAAGGCATAATGGCTCCAAGAAATACAGGAACCACTCAACTCAATAGCAAAGGCTCGGCAGAAGCTCACATGATGATAGAAACCAGCTCTTCTCGAAGCCTGAGCACAAGTAGCCACTTAGCTGAGGTCCACAAAACCTACCATCCACGAAGCTTATAGGCCTCTGGGATGTCAGGGTTCATGATGACAGTGCTAGATGACAGGACAGAGAGGCTTCGTCCGCCAAAGTCAGAAACCCGGGCTCCTTTGATAGCCATCACAGGCTGTCTTGAACCATCAAACTTGTCAGCCTGCAAAGCAAATGCATAGAGCATCACTGGCAGGAAGAAGGTACAGGATATTTCTATGGAGAGCAGTCAGTAGCAGGATGAGTACTGTCAATGTATTATATAAGACAGACCTTACACTCAAGAATCTATCCAGACTTCCAGGAACCAATCTATCACAACCTCTCCCGAGGAAGAGGAAGGGACTTTCCACTATGGGAAGCTGAAGTAACTGATCATCTCACACAAGTAAAGGATTTCAAGGAAGTGCTAGACAGCACAACTCCTTCCCTCCCAGCTCACGAGGACAAGCATCCACGGACTCTGTCAGTGCAAGGACTCACGTCTTCTCCCCACAGAGTTGTAGTCACCACTTTCCCTGACATGTCCATCAAATAGATATTTCTTTTAGCCACTTCTCTGTTGTTAGACTTCACTGTGATTTTAGTTGAATCTTCGTAGCTCTTGCAGATCCCGATTATGTCTGAAAAAGAACAATTTGTAAGAGCACAGATCAAGGCCCCCTTAAAACATAACCAAGGGAGGCATGGCAAGCGTGTTAGTTGTGCACCACCCCAAACACTGAACACATAATCATTACTCTTTGCCTTCAACCCTGGACGGACCTACAAGTGAGTCTTTAGCCTTGCTCTCTAGGTCACCGATCCCTGTGAAATCAAACTGAACTGTGGGTAAGTTACGGTCATCTTCACAGAGAAGGACAGAAGTCTCATTATTGAAGGTCATCTCATAGTCATTTTTAACAGCCGAGAATTGCTTGTTAGCGATCTTCAGAGTGCCTTTTGAGAAATAATACACCTGCAAAAGAGGCCAAGTCAAGGAATGCAATCAGTTCAGCAGAGCCTTTCCCACTATACAACCTGCCGACTGTGCTCATGGCACTTACTGGTCAGCTCCTCAGCTCTGATGATGCGCTCTTACCTTGTTCACTTCAATAAGGGGAAAGAACTTGTCCACCTGATCATTGAAAGCAGTCGCTCTGATTTCACCCTGCAGAAACAAGCGAGGGCACATTAGAACTATGCTGCCGGACACTCACTCAGAGCAGCAAGAGCCGGCCATTTCGGCACTAAAGTAACATCTGTGGAGCAGCACTACACGTGCAAGGAGACCCCAGAGGGCTGCAGACATTCCAGAAACCTGCATTTACAGTCACCCTTTCAAGCTATCAATTCTGATAAAACAAGAGAAGTTCAACTAGCTGAGGTATATGACGAAAAACCTAAGTTAAAAATGGAAAGAGGCTGGTAAGGTAGTCTGGTTGACAAAGGCACTTGTTGTGCAAACCTGGCCACCCCAGTTCAATCCTTGGAACTCATGTAAAGGTGGAAGACCACCAAGTTGTTCTCTAGTTTTTACACATGTATGTGCATGCACACATAGTAAAGTGATTTTCAAAATGTTACCAGAAACTTTTTTGTTTGTTTGTTTTCGAGACAGGGTTTCTCTGTGTCGCTTTGTTGCCTGTCTTGGAACTAGCTCTTGTAGACCAGGCTGGCCTCGAACTCAGAGATCCACCTGCCCCTTCTTCCCGAATGTTGGGATTAAAGGCATGCACCACCACCACCCGGCTATCTAAAAAGTTCTGGACCCTGAATGACAGGCTCAAAGCCCACGGGAAAGCGTGCTGAGCCCCGATGACTCATCACCCCTCCTCACGCCTGCAACCTGAATGATGGGTTACTTCACAGTCAGGAGCGTGAGATTTGATTGCACTGTTACTTTTCTGTCAGGCAGTATGTTACAGATGGGTAAGAAAATGGCTAAAATCTTATCCACACAAGCTGCAGGAAATTAGTTCCCCACACCAAATCTGTTAAGATATTTGCACGTACACCACAACAAGAGGAAGAGGAGGGGGAGAAAGCTTCAAACTTCGACCTTACCAGTATCATTTTATTTGTTTTATATGTACTGGTGTTTGGTTGGCATGTATATGTGCATCACGTGCATGCTTGATGCCTGAAGGGAGGCCAGCCACACAGCTGGACCCCTGAAACTGCAGTTACAGATGGTTATGAAGACACCATGTAGGTGCTGGGAATTGAACCCAGGTCCTCTGGAAGAGCATCTCTCCAGCCCCTGCATTTTCCTTTAAGTAAAGCATAATGAGTATGTATGGTTAGAAACCATCCCCACAAAGGAGTTAAAGCTGAACAGCTGTTGTCTGCCCCGCTCTATAGCAGGCACCACATCCCAGGACTTCAGCTGAGCCTCCAGCAATGTAATCAGAGTGCTGCGGTCTCTCCAGCATGTGAGACCGTTAACAGTATACTAACTTTACAAGTACTTTATCTGATGTTGAGCCCATACCGAGAGAGCACCAAAAAATCTACAGAAGCCCAGTGGTGGCGGTGTATGCCTTTAATCCCAGCATTTGGGAAGCAGAGGCAGGCAGATCTCAGAGTTCGAGGACAACCTGGGCTACAGGGTTAGTTCCAGGACAGCCAGGACCACACACAGAAAAACAAAACAGAACAAAACAAACAACAACAAAAACTACCATAGACAGAAAGCTCCAGTGACAACTATGTTTCTTTCTTGCTAATGATATTTGCCACTTCATGGGCCTCAGAGCTGAGCCCGAGTCTTGGAGGCCAGCGTCTTCCCACATGGTCTACTCACAGTTTCATCCACAAGTTCTATAGAGAAAAGCTTCCCTTCCCCTCGGGAATTGCTCCAGGTACGGATCTGACTTTTGTTGGTGACACGGGCACAAATAGTCCACCTAAAAACCAAACAGATGACATTAGTGTGTGTAGTCTTTCTTACTTGGAATAAAGATAAGCAAAAACCATCTTCTTGTGGCCTTTTCTTCTTTTATGCAGAGTTTATCTGTCAATGCTAGCTGTATTTAATCCAGCTAATTAAAACCCCAAGATGACATACAGGTTTGACAGTTTACAGAATAAGCAAACAGTAAAATATACCAGGTAGTTTAACACTAACTCATTCTCCTGTCAAATAAGTAAATTTATAAACCCTCTCCCTTCCTCAAAAAACATCACCAAGGCAACAATATCCCCTTAATGAAGGGTTCCAAAGAAAAAAAAAAATGTAGTTATACCAGCAATTATATTTTGCCACAATTTTCAGTTAGAGGAACTGACACCATCACTATCAAATGTCTGCCTCATTTCTAATGCATGCCAAATATAAATACAAATCTACAAACCATGGCATTCACAGACCACCAAAAGAAAGCACTCAAAGTGGTATGACTCTGGAAAGAGGCCATTCTTTAAAAAAGGAGTCCCTGAGCCTGGAGCTTTAGCCTGGTGCCCATCCTGAAAACAGACCCTGAGAATACTGATCTCCTCAGTTAGAATTCTACAGGGGAAATTGTCTCCCTTCTTTACCAGGGATAAACAAGGACATATCTTAAAAGAATTCTGGAGGAAAAAAGGCCCACTAATGTTCAATGCTTTAATTAACTTTTAATGGAAAAAAGTAACAGCAAAGGAATCCATGTTTGGGGCATATTAATATGGTTAATACAAATAGGACAGATTACCTTAGCCAAATATTTATAAGAGATGAAATGTGAATTAGCACAAATTACATATAAATAAATATGTATAATTCTATTCCTAAGACTACCAAATGATTCCTTAATCCATAAATAATTTGAACCTCAAAATTTTCAAAAATGACAAAACCTCCATAGGCTATGGCAGAAAGGTATTTTTGCCATTTTTTTTAATAAAAGTGTTAAAGGTTGTCATAATGTGTATTCTTTAGCTCAGAAAAAATAAGAAAGACATTCTTTGTGGTGGTGATGCAGAAGTTCACACGTAAGTCACACAGGAGTGCGTGGACGGGTCCCACCCTTGTCCTATGTGACAACTCACTTGGATTGGTAAGGGGTGAGGCTGGCGATGGGCACCACTTTGGACTGTGTCCCTCCTGAAGGCTGCAGCAGGCCAGTTCCAGTAGGTTTTCCAAATGGCTTTGAGGCACCATAAGCCTTAGTCACAGTGGAACCTGTATAAACACACCGCAAAAGGGCAATCATTTCACTTCTATTTTTGAAATGTGTGTGAGTGCATGCTCACAAGTGCACATGCACATTATGTGGAGGTCAGATAATAATTAAAAAAAAAATTATTTTGGAAGACAGGGTTGCTTTCCTGACAGGATTTCTCTGTGTAGCTTTGGAGCCTGTCCTGTAGACCAGGCTGGCCTTAACTCACAGAGACCTGCCTGTCTCTGCCCCCCACCCCGAGTGCTGGGATTAAAGATGTGCACCACCACCACCCAGCAAAATTCAACTTTTTCGAGACAGGTTCCCTTTGCTGTCTTTTCTCTGCATGTGCCAGGTTAGCAGCCCACAAGTTTTCAGGGATTGTCCTGTGTCCACCTCTGATCTTCCGAGGGTGCTGTCATTAGAGAGGCTCCAGGATTTGAATTCAGATCTTCATGGTTGCAAAGCAAATGTTTCTACTCACTAAGTCATCTCCCCTGCCAGACAACCATTATTTTATTTAAGTTTAAAATTAATTCTCATTATGGCCACGCCACAGGAGAAGCTAAGGAGCCAGTAAAGAACATCTATCATCAGTGTCATCTCGACACTGTCAAAGGGCAGGGACGTCTAGGATGAAATTTACAGGGCTGTGTTCAGTGGGGAACAGAGACTAAGAAGGCAGATTTGCTCAAGATGCAAATGGGTAGTGTAGTACTATGACCTCCTTGCCTCCCTTTTCCAAGCTACACAGCTGTTCCTGAGCAGCAAGAGCACAACCAGCGTCTACTGACAAATGAATCCTTCCTATGTACACTATTGTCTAAAATACATCAACTGCTAATAAACCAAATTCTAATGTCGGTAATCTCCCACCTTCTATACCAAAATGCTTTTCAAAAAGATTGATTTTTCCCTTTTGCTCATATATATGTGTGTCGGAATGTATGCCATGTGGGTGGGTGCCTGCTGAGGCATCAGATCCCCTGGAGGGTTGTGAACTGCCTGACATGGGTGCTGGGAATCAAACTCAGGTCTTTTAGAATAGCTATATATGTTCTTAATTGTGGAGCCATCTCATCTCTTCCATATACACACCCCTCAAGCTCCTTGACGCAGGGTTTCACTAGGCAGTCTTGGTTGGCCCAAGTGCTGGACTAAAGATTACCACTATGCCTGGCCCTTTACAAAGATTTTTTTATAGTCAGGCATGATGGCAACACCTTTAGCCTCAGCACCCGTTAGGCAGAGGCAAATGGTTATTTAAGTTCAAGGCCAGTCTGGTCTAACAGAAAGAGTTCCAAGATAGCCAGGGATACACAGAGAAATCCTGTCTCAAAACCAACCAAACAAAAAATAATTTTAAAAAAGTATTATTATTATTATGTATGCATGTGTGTTTGATGGATTTATGGGGATGTGGCTATGGAGGGCAGAGGACAACTCTGTGGAGTTCATTCTTTCCTTCCACTGTGGGTCCTGGAGGTTCAATAAGGGCCACCAGGCACTTTCACCAGCCGAGCTATCTGCTCTGGGAGTCAGAGTGACAATGTTCCTGAAGATGACACAAGGAAACACACACTGCAGAAAGAACATGTACCTGTGTGTATATACACAGGATAACACTTCCACACACAATTTTAGGCCTAGTGATGTAGCTCAGTAGGAGAGCACTTGTCTAGCACCAGCAAGGTATTTGGTTCAACAGGTGTTGGGGGACCATTCTCCACAAATTTATTAAGGATATAAAAGCATCCATTAATTTATTTAATATTTTTATAACAGGGAGCCACCTGACACACACATCTAGTCCATTTTCTATTACCTCACAGTTTAGGGAACATTAATTGATCATCAAAAATAAACTTCAATATAAGGCAAAGAAATACAAATGAATAGGCAAGTCCATGGAGGGAGGGAGAGAAGTGGTGCACTGTCTGAGTTTCAGCCAAGTAGGGGCCTTTTAATCACTTATCATTTCAGAGAATTTATTCCACCACCTCCTCCAGTCATTTGCAGTGTCAGAGCTGAGTATAAACGTAACTTATGGAGATGGGGAGGTGAGAGATTTACACTATTACAGGGATGGGCTAAAAACAACGAAGACCGATGGGGAAATTTGTATGTTCTGAAAGTCTCATGGTATCTTAGCAACATCGTAATTCAGCTTTTCCTAGGAACTTGAATTTAAAAAAAAGAGGCAGCAGGAGCGGAGGACCAGAGAGATGGCTCAGCAGATCCAAGTACCTGTCACTAACCCTGGAAACCTAGGTTCAATCCCCAGGACATGCAATTGACTCCAGCAATGTGTCTTCCGGTCTCTACCTGCATACCGTGGCATGCACAGGAAAAATAAATAAATAAATTGAATATAACTAAAATATAAAAAGAGTTGAAAAAGGAGAAGGCAGTATGATGTGGTAATAAAACCCAGTAAAAACAAAACTCTAAAAGTAAATTTAGCCATCTTCTACAGGTCACAAAGGTGGTATACCAGACAACAAGGTTCCTAAAACAAGGGCCAGGAAGTTCACGAAATGACCCCATCAAGACCTGCTACAGAGAAAGCTAGAAGAGAGAAAAAATAGAAGCCACAGCCAAAAGGAACAATTCTGCCTCAAGGGAAATGATAAATTCCTATGAAAGCTTCAAACAGGAAATTTGGAGACAAGCGGGAAGTAACAAGTGGCTAGGAGGTCGTAAAAAGGTGGAAATTTAATTGGAATTATTCGTTGCAATCTACCATGAATGGAAGTTTTTATTTGCTTGTTTGGTTTTTATTTTCCAGAGAGAATCTTACCAACCCAGGCCAGCCTTGAACTTGCTAGTAGCAGAGAATGATCCTGAACTCTTGATCCTCCTGCTAATACCTCTAACTGCTGGCCTAGGCTACTGTGCCTGAACCATGAAGAGAATTTTGAAAACTGTTCAGTCCCAGAGTAAATTTTATATTATTTATTTATTTATTTATTTATATATGTTTGTTTATTGTTTCAAGACATGGTTTCTCTGTGTAGCTTTGGCTGGCCTCAAACTCACAGAGATCTGCCTGCCTCTCCCTCCTTGGTGCTGTAATTAAAGGTGTTTGCCACTGCCGCCTGCCTCCAAGTAAATTTTAATACATTATTTTGATATTCTTGAGTAACACCTTACCCATTCCCAAGCTTCCACTCTGTGGCTGGGGCTTGCTGGCTGGTGGTGTGGTTGCTGAGGCTGGGGAAGGAACAACTTGCTGTTGCCCATGGCCTGGAAATGAAAAGAAAGACTGCTTCAGTGCAAACCCAGTCAAGAGATTTCAATATGAGTAGTAAACACCTTAGGAAACCCACTCCTTTAGCTCTGAGAGGGTCAGAATACACACCCGGGCGCCCAGCTGCACACCATTCATTTGCAAAGGGCTCGCTTTTCTTGTCTTCACTCAGTAAAGGTTGTTTCCATTTACCTTTCAACTGTTCGGAATTGACAGCTTTCAGTTTTAATGAGGTTCTCCCTAAAGCCTTGCCCATTTCTCCTGCAGTAGTCACTGGGCTGAATCTGTGATACCACCACTATTTCCATAGCAACAAATCGATGTCGTCAACAGGACAGTGTTCACTGTAGGCTCCATCAGAAGAGAAAGCTGGGTGGTAAGGAAACCTAAAAGCAGTTCAATTGTCCTTCAAGTGCTTCAGCTTCAAAGGAAAAGGAGACTCAGAAAAGATTCTACCCTTTCCCCCAGACAAAGCAACCTTATTTTGCAACTGACAGCTGGTGGGAAATACGAGCTGAAAGACTTTCAGGTACCGCGACGTGCTAGTGAACTGTCACAGCAGGGAGAGATGAGAGGAGTTCAGAAGCAGTCGTGTCAAGGCAACAGAGAGATAAAAAGGAGGGGAAACGAACATGTCTCTCAAGCAGAAAATAAGAAGCGCCACACCGTGAGAGTATGTGTTTGCCCCTCACCCTTTATACAAATGTTTATGAAGCTGAAGAACGGTAGAATTGTAAACTGCATACCCCAATGTTTTAAATTAACAAATTAATGGACTTGGATTTCATCTCTATGATTGGCTCTGAAGGCCAAAGTCAGCCTCATTTGGGCTGCTCACCCAGAGTGCCTGCAGCTTACAAGGGCAGCTAAAAAATATATCCCAGAGTTCTAAAATATTAAACATGGCGGATGGCGAGCACGGGTGGGAAATCTCCTCCTGCCACTGTGTGTATGCGTGCCTTCTCCAACTGTCAAGCTCAAACTCTTGTCACACACCCATTTAGTTCATGTTTGCCAAAATTAGTCTTAAGTGGCACAAGGAAATTAGATGGGATTGTGCCATTAGAGACAAACACATTTAGCATAAAGTTTAAAAGACTAAATAGAACTGATTGTGCTTTGGTTCTTCCTACGGAGAGAAAAACTGAGATGCACAGGCAAAGGACACAGGCTACCGACAAGAAAGCTTGCGCTCACAGTTTGGCCTTCCATTATCCTTGAATCCTAGGACCTGAGCGTGGGAAAACTGTGACAACGCAGCTTGTGACAAACAGCTAACAGGTTTTAATTTTTAATTTTTTTATTTGCTTCTTTTTTGGAGACAGGGGGTCTCTGCGTAGTCCTGGATGTCTTGGAACTAACAATTTAGACCAGCAGATCTGCCTCTGCCTCCTAAGTGCGAGGTATAGAGGTTTCTGCCACCGCCACCACCAAGTCCAGTTTTAAAGTTTTAAGCAAAGCCTTTTAAAATCAGCAAGGAAAAGATAAGTTGCTCAGAAAACACCACTGAAGGAAAGTGGTTAAAAAAAAAAAGTGTATGTTTATCTGCATCATAAGATGCACTTTTACTTTTTTTTTTTTTTAAATAAGCCTAGGCTTATTCTTTTTTTTTTTTTGGATTTATTTATTTATTATGTATGCAACATTCTGCTTCAATGTATGCCCGCACGCCAGACCTCATTACAGATGGTTGTGAGCCACCATGTGGTTGCTGGGAATTGAACTCAGGACCTCTGGAAGAGCAGCCAGTGCTCTTAACCTCTGAGCCATCTCCAGCCCCCTAAGATGCACTTTTAAAAGTGACCTCCTATCCTCCACTTAAATTCTCTCCTTTAAAAATATTTCTGTGTATGTGTGGGGCTCATGGATATGTTCATACCTGTATGTCCTCAGAGGACATCTTGAGGGAGTCAGTCCTAGGGATAGAACAAAGGCCATCAGATTTGGAGACCAATGCCTTCACCTCCTGAGCCATTTCAGGGGCCACTCTACAGTCTCTAAATCATCTAAAGTAGGGAGCCCCAGTTCTCAGAGCCATGCTTGCTGCTGCGTACCTGACTGTACTGGACACGGTCACTGGAGACAGGAGACACATTCAATTTCTATAAAAAGATAACTGAAGACCGAGGACTGACTTGGTTGGTAGACTGAGCGTAAAGACCCTCATTTAATCCCTAGAAAGGGCTGTTGGAAAAGTGAAGTCTGACTGGAGAGGCAGAGACAGGGAGATCCCCAGAGCTCATTAGTCAGCTGGCCCAACTGATGAACCAGGTTCAATGAGAAAGCCTGTCTCAAATAGGATGGGGAGTGACCAAGACGACACCTGACACGGACCGTTGGCGTCCCCACAGATGTACATACAAAGATAACTGCCACTCAGGACTGTGCCATGCTCAAAGTCCAAGACAGAGGGTAAAACAGAGTAACCAGAGACTGGCAGAAGCGGGAAACAGAGTTCTGGATGCATCTGCAGCTTCACTTAGGGAAGATTAAACAACAGAACAGATTTAAGGTCACTGTGCTATGCATGTAAAAATGGTAAACACGCAGTGGTACCTACCACAGCTACTCAGGAGGCTGGAGCTCAAGGCCAGCACAGGTAACATAGATAGTCCTCCACCTCAAAGTTGAACAGTAAGTGTATATTTTACTACAATTTAAAAAACATACAACAATGTACCTATTCTAACATATATTTTTCATTTTTATATGAATTAGTTACAAATTTAGCTGAACATAATACAACAATAATATCAGACTCACTGAAGCTTACTACATAACTAACAAGTCTCCAGCTGATAACTGATTCCAGCTGATAACTGATAAAGCACCTGCCTAGCACGCACTAGGTCCTGGTGGTGCACGCCCATAATCCCAGCACACAGCGGTAGAAGTAGGTGGGACAGAAATTTAAGGCACTCCTTCTCAGCTACACAGTGAGTTTAGATCAGTCTGGGAAACACGAGACAACAGTAACAACTATTATTACTGTTTTTCAGAGGGTTTCCTCTGAACAAGGACCAAGGGCTAAGTGCATTTTCCCAGTAACTGCTAGCAGTATGATGAAGACAGTACTGCACCCTTTAACATGGTGGAGGAGAGGGGAGCTGGTATTACTCAGCTCTCTCTGGTTAAGTTCATGTACCACACCATCCTGTGCTTAATTTGTAAACAACCAATCCTGACAATAATAACTCTAGTTATGTAGAACATTAGAACGTAAGATGTGGTAATTAGGAAAAGCTACTAATCCACTTAATAGAGCAGTAACCTTTATCTCTTACAATTCTGGTACAAGAGACAGCCCTGAACCAAATGATGGCAAGGATTCCAGAGCATTCTAAATAGCAACAATTGCCCTTCAATTAGCACACTGTAATGCAGCAGCTGCCAGTCCATGGCCGAGGAAAAATCTTTCTAGAAGCCAAAATGATTCTGCAAAGCAATAATGTAGGCTCTGTTTATAATAACCTGTCTTGTGCCACCTGCAAATCAAGCCATTCTAGTAGGCTAGATCAAGATAGTAATTCTTCAGCTCTCTAGCTCTGGCTGGCTACACACTGACTCTAAGCCAGGAGGGAAGCAGGAACTGAGAGCAGACTCCAGCTCCTCAGGTAACTTGCACTCATACTGATAATTTTTACTATCTATTATGGCAAGTGAGCTGTGGGCAGAGAAAAATTCACAAACAAACCCATCAACTTCCCAAGCCAAGCGCTTCCTTGACAATAACTAAATAAATAAATAAAAAAGAATAAACAGCCTGCCATGGTGTCGCACACCTTTAATCTCGACAGAGGCAGGCAGATCTCTGTGAGTTCAAGGCCAGTCTGGTCTATATAGGTCCAGGACAGCTATGTGGTGAGATTCTGTCTCAACCCCCAAACCAAAGAAAACAAACAAACAAAAAAGAATAAATAGAGGATCAATACAGTATTTCTTAGCTCCTGATGACAAAAAAGGGACATGATCAGGCTGAATATAATTCCAATACTAATAGTAAACTAAGTATTGTATGATACATTTAAGTTTGAGCAAGCTATTATCACCAGCAGTAAAGACATAAAGGATTTGCATACACACACTGACAAAAATGCAGTCTTAAGTATTACTTAAAAAAACCACCATTCCTACAGTATATGCAGCATGGACTGTGTTTGCAGTTCTATTTTGCACACTTTGAATCATCGTCTTTGCTCGGTATGGCAGTAGTAGTAAAAGTTATATTTTGCATTTCAATACATTCTGAAATTCCTACTGGTCTGGGCTGGGTTTGTTCGCTAACTAATGATCACCTGACCTGTAAGGGGTCCTGGATTAGGTTCCAGAGGACACAAGTCTGACTTTAGTTCTCAGTCTACTCAGAAGCTGTTGCACCCTGAACTGTAATTGTCTCTCCAACCATGGCATTTCCACGGTGGCTCAAGTAACAATGACACCCAATAGTAAATGATCCTGGACAGCAGACTCTTCTCAGCCTCTGTACTGCAAGTGATGTGGAAGACAGGGAATGGCCAGGTAAGTTGGAGAGAGACAAAGGGATTTTCCCTATAGCTCTATGGTTCTGACCCCAAAACAAAAATCACCTTTTTGTCTTTCATTTATTACAAAGATTTGTCCCTGAAATACAGTGTCTGAGGAAACCATCTAGTTGAATAAATCAAAACGGTAGATAACCAATAGGTTTCTCCCCACCCCTAGACTGTTTTTTGAGATAGTCTTATATAGCCCAGGCTATCCTGGAACTCATTAATATAAGGATGACTTTAAACGAATTCCCTGGTTTCTACCCCAGAGTGCTGGGATTACAGGAACAAGCCACCAAGTCCATCCCTTCGTTCTCATGTTTCTCTGGTTTTAGTTGTTTTGAGACCAGTTTCAAGCTTACAGCAATCCTGTCTAAGCTTCCAGTGTGCTGAGGTATAGGTGTGAGCCACCACAACAGGTCTCTAAAGTCCTAAATTATTAATAGTAATAGTAGTAATGAAGTTTTTAA